CAACTTGAACGCAGTCGATTTTTGACTCGAGTGAGGATATGGTAGACTTAAATTCGGCTGATAAGGCCTGGCGGTGTTCCTCCAACAGCTTCGCAATCTCCGCCATTTTGAGCTCGCTGGAGACGTTGTCAGCAAAGTCCGTTTTGGTGTCTTTTTTAGTTTGTTTACTCGATTTTGAGGTCATGTTGACACTGAAATGTAAACTACGTCGTTGTGGTCAGGTTTATAGACAATATTATGTACAAAGTGGCTGCAAAATCACAGCAATAGCGGGAGCTACGCGTAGACACGTCTACTCCATCTGCTGTCCGACGTCGTCTCCTAAATGTGAATTTAGATTGATAAAAGTCTCAAAATTTTAGTACAATGACTGTGTTTTCAAACAAATATGTGAATTATACGTGTGCGCAAAACTGGAATATGCCATAAAACATTAGTGAATAAAGCAGAGTTTCCATCCAACGAGTCAAAGACAAAATCCTGATAAACTGGTGCCAAATATCTGGCTGAAATTCACCTTCGGTTTAGTCCCTTTAATAATCAGGGGTCCCCACAGCGGAATGAACTGCCAACTTATCCAGCACATGTTTTATACAGTGGATGCCCTTACAGCTGCAACCAAACACTGGGAAACACCCATACACACTCATTCACACACATACAGTACACTCTCAGGAAAAAAAAAGACAAGATGGAACTAATAATGTTCCTTAAGGAACAGTTTTGTACCTTAGTTGTACCTTATAGGGTACAGAAAAGACCTCTTATGATACTGTAGAAATGAAGGTACATAATTGTTCTTATAAAAAAGGAACATAAGTGTTGGACAACTTGCAAGGCAAGGCAAGGCAAGTTTATTTATATAGCACATTTCATACACAATGGCAATTCAAAGTGCTTTACATAAACAGAAATAAAAGAAACAAGTAAAATAAAAATTAAAAAAAATAATAAAAATGCGTAAAAACAAAACAAAACATAAAAACAGGTAAAATGTGATATAAAAGAATGAAGAAGAGAAAAACATGATAGTGCAATCTGTCGGACGCAGCACAGTGCTCATTCAGTAAAGTATGCTTAAAGAAACTCATAAACATTAATTATTAAGTTAATAATACAAAACAACTGGTAAAACTAAACCATGGGTATTGTACACCAGACATTTAAGGCATTTTTAATAAACATTAGATGAGGATTTTTTTGGCATTTGCTTTCCACTAGACACGTGAGCTGGCAAAAGTCCTGCATATGCAAAGTGTTCTTTCAGACATTTTACTATAGTAAAACTAATCAAACATTGTGCATTGTTACAATACTTTTGCATTATTCTATTTCTATTTTAAAATGAAGTAAATCAAATGAACTTTTAAGTGATAACAAAGGTATTGTGTAAAAACTGGAGAAAACAAATGTGTCATATTGTAGATAGGAGAATGTGTTTTTGTATATGAGAAGTGTGAAATGTTTAGCAAAAATAGATCTTTTGATTGATGTTAAAGTATTTTTTTATTCTTTATTGTAAATGGAAAAGCTGTATTTACACACAAATAAACGTTTTTAAAACATTGTTTATAAATGTATTTGATGTTTTATATTTACTGAAAATAAATTCATGCATTTTGGATATACAGTATAGTGAAATGCCTTTAAATAGTTCTTGAAGCAACACATTTGACACTGTTAAGGTACAAAATGTCTTAGTGGTACCTATATGGATCAGATTTGTACCTTTGATGAAGTTAAAATATTGTATCTGCAGGGATTAAAAACCAAAGGTACATTTCTGTTTCAGTTGTGTGGCAGCAGTGTGTGAATATATCCAGCCTCTAATGGCAGAAATTCGTTCATTTTCCTTCGATTTAGTCCCTTTACCAATCAGGGGTAGCCACAGTGGAATGAACCGCCAACTTATCCAGCATATGTTTTCAGTGTCTTAAAATTCAAAACCTTAAAAAGCTCTAAATTCACGGATATATTGTGTTGTAGGTCTTAAATTGTTTTAAACAGGTCTTTATTTTGCTTTGTCCAAATAAAGCTACTCAATTTGGGCCGATATAAATCTAATGACCAACAACACATCTCAATAAAATCTTATTTTTTATATTTAAGTTTTTTATTGCAAAGAGATGGTTCATAACAGCTGTTAGACATTTATTGTAAATGGAAAAGCTGCATTTACACACAAATAAACTTTAATTAAATCATTGTTTATAAATGTATTTGATGTTTTATATTTACTGAAAATAAATTGACGCATTTTGGATATACAGTAGCGAAATGCCTTTAAACAGTTGTTGAAGGAACACATTTGACACTGTTAAGGTAAAAAGTGTCTTGTCTCTGTGGTGGTGCCTTCATGGATCAGATTTGTTGCTTTGATGAAAGTCAGGGGCGGACTGGCCATCTGGCAGTTCTGGCAAATGCCAGAAGGGCCGGACCATTTTTTAAATGTGGGCCGGTCAGCTATTTTTTTAATTTATTTTTTAATAAGTTTTGTTTTTACATGCAGGCAGCTTTTATCTCTTGCAAGATGTGAGTATTATGATGATGATGATTATAGTAGTAATAGTAATAATAAATGTTAAGCATTGGCCCAATCGGCAATGACCGACTGGTTTCGAGATGGGCTGACCAAATTAGAGGTTATGCGGACGTAATCAAAATCTGGCAAGAATGTCAAACAAAAGGTAAATGCAACACAAGCTAATTGTCAGAGATGGACCATAAAAAAGGAAAGGCGGTGGCTCACAGAAAGCAAAAAAAATGTCTCTAAAATCAAACGAAATAGTCTCTAAAGGGGGCAGTGCAGGGGCGCAAGAAGGTCGCTATTTCGATCCTCGGCTGGGTGAGTTGATGTTTCTGTTTGGAGTTTGCATGTTCATGTGGATTTCCTCCTGGTTTCCCTCACATGTGCTCTAGGTGAATTGGGTAGGCCTAATTGTCCATAGTGCATGTATGTGAATGTGTGTGTATAGGGGTTTCAAAGTGAGTTGCAACTTGGAGGGCATCTGCTGCGTAAAACATATGCTGGGTAAGTTGGCGGATTTCCACTGTGGCGATCCCAGATTAATAAAGGGACAAAGCCGAAAAGATAATGACTGAATGAAATGATTGCATAGATACATTTGTTATAAATAGGTTATTTTTGTTCCAGTCACATGCATTAAATGTTTAAATATCTATCACATATGGCACTGCTTATATTATTTCACCATCTGTACACCAATATAAGTAGTGAATGTGCGTGTTCGTGCATGGGGCTGTGTCGGTGTGGTAATGTGGGCTGGTGTGGCTACAGTGCCACGGCTGATTTTTAGTCCCAGTCCGCCCCTGATGAAAGTACAATATTGTATCTGCAGGTTTTAAAAACTAAAGGTACATCCTGTTTCCCATGGTACAAATCATGTCCTTAAAGGTACAAACTGCAATGGTACAAGTGTGTTTCTTTGTCTTAAGGTACAATTCTCTTAAAAAGGTGCTGCCCCAGTGACAAGGGTTTGTACCTTCTTGGGTAACATTGTACCATTTTTTCTGAGAGTGTACGACATTTTAGCTTACCCAATTCACCTATAGCGCATGTGTTTGGACTTGTGGAAGAAAATCTTTTTCTTACTTTAAAGTTTTTGTCAAATCAAGAAGCATTTTCAAGACAAGCAAAACATATTGACTTGTTTTTTTTTTTTTTTACAAATAATAAATAAAGATTAAGTGAGTTTTTCCTTAAAACAAGCAAAAATAATCTGCCGGTGTGGTGATTAAAATATTCCTGCTTCAAAGTGAAAACTAGTTTATTTTACTTACCATATTGGCAGATTATTTGCTTGTTAAAGGTTCAGGACACCCTGGAGAACTTTTTTTTATATTAATAGATGTGTGTGTGTTGAGCATCAGTTAAGACAATGTTAGCACCTGTCAGCTTTACTTGTGGGGAAAACTGGATAATTTTGAGCTTTTGTCAGCTAATTTCAGCTTCCGGGTTTAAAATGATTTTTGGGGCGGATCAAAATCGGTGACGTAGCGCAGTACTGCAAGTGCAATGATGATGCGTCGGTTTCTCATTATTATTCATAGCGGAGTTTCCTTATCCTATGAGAAGAGCCGGCTGCTTAATTATTCATGAGACCTGCCAGACCTACCAGAGTCAAGCCCGAACTGAGAGACACGTCACGGACCCACTGCACGGGCACACAGTATTTAGCCATTCATGAAGGCTCATATGTGTTTGTTTCCATGATCCACGCGGTTTGTTGCATGTTTTCCCCCGCGATCTTGTCAGGGCCGATCATACAGCAAAGCTGTGTGTGTGCTGCAAGCATTTTTGTCGGGAGAGCAGCACGAGCATTAGAGAATGGCAGACGCTGTCTTTTATCAGGAGTTCGTTCACATTAAGACACATCACTGTGCTGCTGTGTTTGCCTAAATCCTCCAGATTACCAGCAGGGCTAATGGTTAAAATAGGCATGTCAGGTGACCTGCTGCACTGAGTCTGCTCTATACGGGGATTGAGGGAGAAGTCCTCATTTATAGTGTTTACATGAACACACTTATCTTTATAATGATATAAATTGTGGTTATGTGTATATGAAATTATGAATAACAAATGTAGCAGGGCATTAAATCACTGTTCATTTCTTTGCATTTTAACTTTGTAAACTATAAACTGATGCGTTCCTCACGGTTTGTCTCATTTTGTGAGCTAGCTTCGTTATTCGCTCACGTTCTCCCCTGCTGGCCACGCCCACTCCTGCCCGATGCTTGCGGAGCTCCACGCCCATTAATCATGCATCTTTTGAAAAAATTCTGAAGTAGACTTTAACCGAAAGTGGGGGGTGTCATGGCCCTTTAAAGGGGATCTATTATGCCAAAATGAGGAGTTTAAGCACAGTTGTGTGGCAGCAGTGTGTGAATATATCCAGCCCCTGTTGGCAGAAATTTATTCATTCATTTATTTTCTTTTCGACTTAGTCCCTTTATTAATCAGGGGTCGCCACAGCGGAATGAACCGCCTACTTATCCAGCATATGTTTTCAGGGTTTCCACATGGTCTTAAAATGTCTTAAATTGCCCTAACAAGCACTAAATTCCCTGCCATATTGCTTTGTAGGTCTTAAATTGTTTTAAACAGGTCTTTATTTTGCTTTGTCTAAATAAAGCTACTCAATTTGGGCCGATATCCATCTATGATCAACAACACATCTCAATAAAATCTTATTTTTTATATTTAAGTTACTGCAAAAGAGATCATAACAGAGTTCATAACAGCCGTTTCCTGCAAATTCCCCAAATTAAATTCCCTAATCAGGGGGAAAAAACTAAAAACAATTACATGATTCCTTATGATAACACCGGGCCTTTAGAAAAAAATCTTAACCCTGCAGAAGTCTAAATTTAATTCTTTATAGTCTTAAAAAGTCTTAAATTTGTCTTGATGAAACCTGCAGAAACCCAGTGTTTTACACAGTGGATGCCCTTCCAGTTGAAACCCACCACTGGGTAGCAACCATACACTCTCATTCACACACATACACTACAGACAATTTAGCTTACCCAATTCTATGGATAAACTCACTTCAATTTGACTTAAATTACCTTTTTTTGCTAGAATTTGGCCAAGAAACAAGACAAAAACTCTAAGTGCATGATCAAACAGACAAACTCTGCCAGTGAAATGCTGCTGTGTTTGATGCTCTGCTTCCCCGGATCGTTGCAGACGCCGCAGGCATCCTATACCTCACCCTCTTCCAGAATCTGGAGTTCAGGCTCGCCTCTCCATCTCTCCACAGTAAAGCGGATCTCTTGCGGAGCAGATGCTGGAGTCCCAGAGGAAGGTGACTGTAGTCCTGCATGAGCCCCAGCTGGATGATGATCACCGGCGTTTCTCCCTGAACCAGAGCCTGATGGAGACCCGCCTGCAGGTCATACGCCTCAGCTGAACCTCCAACTCCTTCTGCTGATAAAATGATGAGGAGTCTGCGGCTCAGCTGGATCTTGGTTTGGATCAGGTTTGCAGAGTCTGGAGAAGACGGAGATGTGTTTCATGAGGTAATCGGTGCAATTACAGTTGAAGTCGGAATTATTCATCAATTATCCCACAATTTCTATTTTAATGGAAAGAAGAACCTATTTCTAATCATAATAGTTTTAATAACTCATTTCTAATAACTGATTTATTTTATCTTTGCCATGATGACAGTAAATAATATTTGACTAGATATTCTTCAGGATACTAGTATTCAGCTTAAAAGGACAATTAAAGGCTTAACTAGGTTAATTAGGTTAAATAGTTAAGTTAGGGTATAAAGGCAAATTCTTGTATAATGATGGTTTGTTCTGCAGATAATCGAAAAAATGTACAACTTAAGGGGGCTAATAATATTTAATATTAAAATAATGATATTAAAATGGTGTAACACCACCACTCTGCATGCAAGATGTTACACTGAGGGAGTTCACAGAATTTTTATTTCACACATACTGAAATTAAAATAAACTTCACAAGCCTGTTTTTCCCTTTTTCCTTCTTGTTTAATTTCTCTACATGTGTATACAGTATTTAGTCCACACAAACAAAAGTAACCAATATCCAAAACCAAGCAGTCATTGAATGTAAACAGTCTGTGTAAATGATATAGATGGTTGGGTGAATGTTGCGTAGATGGATTTGAGTGCAATGCAATAAGATCCACTTCCTCACACTGGGAAAACGGTAGTATGATGAATTTAAGAGTCACTGACCGTCATTCCACGAGTACACATATAGTTCATTTGCCAATGAGAAGCATAAAGAACGTTGAAACCAAATCATTGCAGTCCATTGAAAGCACCAACAAACACCTCATCTGAACATCTCTAGGACAACAGGTCCTGTCTACATAAGAAATAAACATAGGGCAAATCACAACTAACCATTGAAAATACTTTCAAACTTAAAACGTATTCAATACTCACATTTGAGCAGCAACAATAATGTTCTCAAAACAATCAGAACCGGAGTGGGTCGGTAGCCTCAGTTCACCATGTGGTTCCCTCTACCAAACACGACTCACTTGCTCTATGGTGAGCTGGAATATATCCAGTTCTCACTCCCCTCTAGTGCAACCTAGTGGCCTGTAGTAATATTGCAACCAGTGCTTCTCGCATCACAAGAAACTAAAACAACAATTAAAGCATGTAACGTTTGTTCGTTACAATGGTATTAAACAAATTTAAAAACTGCTTTTATTGTAGGCGAAATTGTAATGCCTCATGACTAAATAAAGGGCGCCAATGTGATCGTACACACCAACGTGCAAAACGGCAGGTGTAAAAGCTTCCTTTTTAAAAAAAACTTCTCATGCTCGTTTTTTTGTTTTTTGTTTTGATGCGCCGCATCAAAGCCTTCTCCACCAATCAGATTGGCACTTTTGTTCAAGGTGCGTTCGACTTCAGGCTGCGCTGCGCAGATCGATCGAAATCTGTCTTAAAGCGGTGCATGCTGGTTAGAAATCTTGTCCGGATTGATGCTGCGCCGACGCCACGTGGCTGTCACATGTGGCATCAAAGTACAGAGACAGCGCTCCGAGATCAGACGGCAAACTCAGACCGTGCAGCTTCTGAAGAGCGACTGCAGGAGCTCTGATGACGACACCCATATTACACGATTGGCCGAGTTCATCACATGACAACAAACAGGAGTATTTCGGGTTTATAATTGGACAAATTCCGATTCAAAAGTTTCAAAACAAACAATTCACTTTTCACACCCTCTCTATCCTGTACACATCTTGCTTATTAAAAAACTGAAATATTTTACTGCAGTAATCATCTTTTGTAAAATAATCTGGTTATAAAGGTTAGCTTGTTTGCACAGGTTTATTTTCAACTTTTTTATACAGACTATTTACTGCATTCAGCTCCATGAACGATTTAAATGATATATTTTAGTGACAAACCTAAATATGAACTCAAATAAGTCTTACAGACTTGAAATAAAATAATCATCATCATTGATCCAGACACCCTAAAGCTTTCTTAACAAACAAGGTTAAATAACTATTTTATTAAATAATTATAAAATGATTCTATGATTTTATTATAAATATATATATATATATATATATAATTTTAAAATCTTTTTGGATTAAAGTAATTTTTGGAAATGGCTTTCATTATCCAAAATAATTAAGACTTAATCAAAACACCTTGTTCTGTGTTTTACATTGGAAAGTTTTATATCTATAAATGTACATTAATGTAAACCCTTTTTAGCATATTCAAACAAAAAGTATTAGCCTAAAGAGTGATGTTTAAACTCCTAGAATTTGTAATTGCTTTGTATTTAATAAACCAGTTAGTTTTGATGTTTATATTAACCTCTCATTTCCCCTAATTTCTCTCATGCATTAGTTATAATTCCCTTATTGTTTAAAAAGGAACTACAGTTTGTAGAGACTGTATTCTGTTTTATTTGTAAATGTTTTGTTGTTATAAATAAAAATAAATAAAAAAATATGATGACGCCATGTGATTGGTCATCATGACTGCAGCAACTTTGAGCCCCGAAGTGTCCAGCTGTCCGTCTTGACGGCTCCGTTTTCAACTCCGCCCCCGCCTGCGCTCGGCTTATCTCGTTGATCACCGGCTGCAGCTGAGCTTCATGTCGAACACACCTACAGTAAACAGCACTTGGAGGTGCTCAAGCGCTTTGCGCCTATTGTTTTGCACGTTGGTGTGCACGATCACTTTGACACCCTTTATTTAGTCTAGAGGCGTTAAAAGTCGACGGAAAACGCAGGCAAAAAACGTCTCGGTGCACACCCAGACACTTTTTGCCCGTGTTTTTTGTCGATGTTATGACTAAATAAAGGGCGTCAAAGTGATCATGCACACCAACATGTGCTGGTGATGACATGGGTGTCCTGAAAACCTTCCCAGCTCTTCTGAAATTGTCAATAGCCGCGTTTCCACTATCGCGCCTAAAGCGAGCGAGCCAGGGGGAGCCAAGGCCAGTGGGGTTTCCACTGTCACTTCCGGGGCCTTATCAGGCCAAAGCGGGGCTTTCTTGGGGCCAGCGGCCGGCCTTTTTCGGCCCGCCGAATACCTTGGGCCAAGGAGGGCCAGCTGGGGCTTCGGGGCGGAGTGAAAGGAGAGGCGGGCAGTTTTCTGATCGCACATGAGTACATGCGCCAAACAAATAAAGAAATAAGGGAAAGAAAACATCTAGCCTTATAGTCTGGGGTCTTTTTGCGTATGATTGCCCTTATGTTTCCCTTTTAAATGTAAGGCTGCTGCATAAAATAATAAAGTAGTTTTAATTTATAGTGACGTTTTTTGCTGCGTCCTCCTTTATGTTTCAATAACGCATAATAATCTTTCAACACAATCTCACGGCAAATCGTAACTTTTTCATTTAGTGGCTAATTCGTATGAATTCGTACGATCTAATTCGTACAATTTAGTACGATTTGCTTATCCCCCAATGACGGTTGGGGTTAGGGGTGGGGTCAGGTGCCACGCCTCCTTTTTAAAATTGTACCATTTCGTACGACTGAACTCGTACGAATTCGTACGAATAAGCCACTAAACTGGCAAAACGTAAAATACTTACGTTTTCTCGTGAGATCAGGCTGACAGCAGACAGTAAAGGTTTTCCAGAGTTTTTGTGAAGTTTAAAATGTTTGTTTTTGCGCGTTTAGATGCCTGTATGTGTGTGAGACCGGGCAAAAGCGCTCCTTCACAGCTCTGTTATGGCGCGAGCGGCTTTTTTCTTTATTTATTTTGGAGATAATACACAATATAAATACAACAGAAAGACATAAAACTTAACAAATTACGTGCCCACTTTCGTAGACTTTAAACAATATAGATCATATCTTGATAAAATAGCCTAAGCTATATTGAAATATAATTTAAAGAATTACAAATATCGGACATATATAAAATCACATTAAATAAATAAACCAATAAAAAATAAACAAAAGCTAGCTATAACAATGTAGGTAGCCTATATACAATACATAAATCAAACCGTTTTAAAGCCACATATTGCCTAACTTTCATTATACAAAGACCTATCTGAAAAAAAAAGATTTTCGATATTTTCTAAACACTAAACACCGGAGAAGGTTTGAAATATTTATATAAAGAAAATATTTATATAAATAAATATTTATAAAGTATTTGGATACAATGATACTAATCAAATCGCGCAAACAGAGCATTATTTGGGTGAGTGAAAGCAGAATCTAGCCTATACCTTTTTTTCTGTCACTCAGTCCTGCGCAGCGCTCGCTGCTTTAAACGCATATGGGGGAAAGTCCAAACACAAAATGTGTTCTATATCCTCAAACAACTGTTTATGTTTTTATATGACGTGGTTAAATTTATAAATTAAACTTTAAATGAAGAGCTTTAGTGAATAGCTGCCGAGCGCAACAAATATGGCTATATTTTATTAGGCTACTCGCTCTTGTGCTGAAAACTTAACACGACTTCTATCAAAACGAGGATGTTATAAAATACATGCCATTTCGAGTTATAAAGGAGAATTTCTGTGGCTTTATATTATGGATGTGTGCGCTCTCTGTGTTGGCGTTAGTGGCGAGAGCACTCCATGCACAATACCAACAGTCGGTCGGCGAGTAAACAATAAATGTAATGAATGGAAATACACAGGTCTGTGCGTGTAGACATGTCATGTTCTGCTGTACAGTAACGTGTCGTTTGTTTGTTTTGGTTGTCTTCATTTTAATGGTTTCGTTTCTTGATGATTCTATGGTGTGCTTTATCTGCCTGTCCTCATTCCCGCTGAAGTGGGCGGGTTGTGTGACGTTTGATTCAGGGGCGTTCTGGGGGCGGTGTTTGTGTGACGCGCTGTGAGCTACTAGCCTGACAGTGGAAACACGACATGATTTCAGCCTCATTTCTCAACCTTCCGGGCTATTTGCCCCGCCCGGCCCGATTAAAGCCCTGGCTCGCACTGGCCCGATAGTGGAAATGCGGCTATTGAGGCTCAACACTTCCCTACCTGCATCTGGTAGCAGTGCTGGCCTCATTTTCAGGCCGAAAAGAGCTAGAATAAGTTCTAAGAACTTTGAGAACCAGCTTTTGTTGAAGCTGAATAAAAATATTGCCCCCGTCTGAGACTGACAGGTGAATCATCAAAGTCAGCTTTGAATTTTATTTGACTACGCTTTACTAATTTTTTTTTTTTTGTGGAAAAATTAGTCTTTTTTTGAACATTTGAGTTTGACTGAGAATTTTTGTTCTATTTTTTTATCTATTTTATTCTGCCATTTTGAAACATTGAGGTGTTAAATTTAATTTCTATATTAGCAAATAAAACCTTTCTTAATGTTCTTTAAGCCTACAATCAGTATGAGTAAAATACTTAAAGGGCCATGAAACCCCCTCGTTTCAGCAGGGTGTTTTCACACCTCTACTTTGGAAAAAGTCAGAAAAGTGGGCGTGTCCAGCTCTGTTTAGGGGGGAGTGTTGGAGGAACTAAAGTGGGATGGTGTGGGAGTGTCTATTTGGGAACGCGCGAGTTTCAGTCCAAATACTCACACACAGGAGAAAGTGATGGTGTTTAACCTACATGGACATCTGTAGTCAGATTATATGCCAAATTATTAAATGTTGGACTTTAACTGCAGTTTGACTCTTTCATTCAGGGAATTCATTCATGCCCCTCGCGACAAACGAGATATTTGATTCGAGGAACTGCTCTAAGCGTGTATTTTTCATGCAATGTTTAATACCGCACGGCGAATGAGAGAAAAAAACTCAGCATTTTCCAGAAACTTAGATGCACACGGCAGGTAGCGTCAGAAAGCCGCGTGTGTTATTCCGTTAAAGGTTAAAGGTTAAAGGTTAAAGTTTGGTTGTGGTGCTAATATGTTTACACTCGGTGCAATAGTTAACTTAGTTTGATACAAACAAACTGAATAAACAAAGAGCACTGGTCGCTCACTTCACCAAATCTGTAGAGACAGAACAATCACCAGCAACTAGAGCCGCGTCCTTATTAAGAGAATACTACAAGCGAATCCGGATCTCAGCGTTTGCAGATGAGAACAGCTCTCAGGTAAACAATAATCCTCCTTAGACACGTAAGTTATTGTTGTCGAGCGTCGCGTACACTGTTAATCCACACGTGACTCCAGCTGAGCTCTCACAGAGAGAAAATGAAAACAAAACTTCACTGCAGCAAACTATAAAAGCAACACTTCACGCTTGTTTTGCCAACACAACGTGGCGTCTCTGTTGTGTAAACACTGTGACAGTAATGAATATTAATGAAGTTGCACAATAGAGCGCGCTGATTGGTTTGAACCAAGCCTTACTCATGCATTAATGCAGCACACTGTAAGACGTAATAAGACTCACTCTGGCACAGGTGTCCAGTCTGCACGCTGGAATACACACTATTATGTCATGACCATGACGCAGCTTCAAAAATTTGTTTCAAACCGGAAGTACGAATTTGCTTGAAATAACGCAAAAACAACCAATTTACACTTTTTAGTGAAATATAGGTGCCCTAATAGTGTTTTTAGCAGTGTTGGACACATATAAGACGGTAAACAGCTCAAAAATGTGTTTTGGTGTTTCGTGACCCTTCAAGTTCTTTTAAAATCGGATACTTTAATACTTTTACTCAAGTCTTATTGGAATTGGTGACTTGTAATGGAGTCATTTTTACAGGAAGGTATCTGTACTTTTACTCAAGTATGGTTTTCAGGAACTCTTTACACCTCTGATACTCGCATCCAATACCTCAGTTTGCTGCAAGATGCAGTGTATAAGTACCTTCTCCAGGCAGGTCGTCTCTGCCATGGATGAAGAGTTTATATCCACAGCTGCTCTCCAGCACCGGCAGAAGAGCCCCGTTCACAAACTCACTCACAGCATGGCCCGTCTCCCCATCCAAGCCACTTCTCTGGTAAATCACATAGGCATCATAGAGCTTCCCATCTGTCAAAAACAATAAAAAACAACTGTCTTTTCCTCAAAACTGTTTAAGTAAAAATTATTTATTCCCCTGGGGTTGACTGTATATGTGTGTAAAAATGCATTAAGAAAACTTTTGCATTATTTCAACATGTTTTATTAAATAATTCAATATTTTAAATACACTAAAATACATCTAATAGTATTCCTCACCCTCTGTCCTGTACAATTTGATAAAAAGTTTCCTTGCAAGCAGCACCAGATCCAAAGCAAACCACCTCACAGTTCCAGCAAACAGCAGCAAGACGGTGAATATGAAGATGAACACCAGGACCACAGTGAGCACCGATGCTGAAAGTAAACAGCACAGAATAATGATAAAGAGATGATTATTTTCTGTGAATAGGCTATTTATAAATATTTAAATGAATAAATTAATCAAATTAATTCCGTCATAAATGATATATGTGATCCGTTCTTACAATTAGAAATACAGTCTAAGTTTGACGGTCACTTAAAATTGGAGTCAGATTAAATTCGGAGCTAAAAAAACTAATATTAATAAATTCTAATAAATAACTTAATTCTTTTCAGAAGCACTAGAAAAGGCTTACATGCATTTAACCTTCGACCATGCTGTTAGTTTCGTCATTGGGCTATTAGATGGACTTCTAAATAGTGTGAGCTTTATTCGGATGTTTTCATTATATAAAAAAGCAAAGCTGAAGTGGATCATTTGCAATATTTTTTGATATTTTTAATATTTTAATTTTAATATTTTACTAAACTGTTTACTTACTTTTTACTTAAGGTAAGTGGTTGCAAACTATTTATATGGGCTCAATTTAAACAAACAAATTAAATTTAGTAATGTTCAATTTTGTTTAAATTCCGCCCTTATCACTTGCTTGCAACCATTTAAAATATTTTAGAAAAAAAAAAAAGATATTAAATCCAATGAATCTTTTTTTTCAGTATACAGTTGAAGTCAGAATTATTAGCCCCCCTGTTTATTTTTTTCCCCTAATTTCTGTTTTACTGAGAGAAGATTTTTTTTCAACACATTTCTAATTATAATAGTTTTAATAATTCATTTCTAATAACTGATTTATTTTATCTTTGTCATGATGACAGTAAATAATATTTGACTAGATATTTTTCAAGACACTTCTATACAGCTTAAAGTGACATTTAAAGGCTTAACTGGGTTAATTAGGTTAACTAGGCAGGTTAGGGTAATTAGGTTAAGTTATTGTCTAATGATGGTTTGTTCCGTAGACTATCGAAAAAATTTGCTTAAAGGGGCTAATAATTTTGACGTGAAAATGGATATAAAAAAATTTAAAACTGCTTTTATTCTAGCCGAAATAAAACAAATAAGACTTTCTACAGGGAAAAAAAAATATTATCAAACATACTGTGAAAATTTCCTTGCTCTGTTAAACATCATTTGGGAAATATTAAAAAAGAAAAAAAAATCAAAGAGGGGCTAATAATTCTGACTAGATATCTAAAAAAGCATTAACAAATAAATAACTCATAACTACTCTGTAAAATGATGCATTTTTAATTAGACTGATGGATATGATCACTATAAGAGGGACTCACGTTCTCTCTTCAAAGTGACTAACACATAAATCACTCCATATTCGTCCATAGCTGCACAGTGAAACTTCGACTGAAGGTCCAGCTCAGACACTGCAGTGATGTTCAGGAGAGAATGAGCGAAGCCTCCGTTCTTACTGGAGAAAAACAACAACAACAACAACTTCAGCAGACATTTCAGACATCTGTCAGATTTTTTGTCCTCAAACTGCTCCTGTGTGCAGGACTATTTTCTTACACATGTATTGTAATGTGTATTTATATAGCGCATTTATCGTGTATGGCCATACACCCAAAGCACTTCACAATCATGAGGGGGGTCTCTCCACACCACGACCAGTGTGCAGCATCCACTTGGATGATGCGATGGCAGCCACAGGACAACGGCGCCAGTGCGCTCACCACACACCAGCTATTGGTGGAGTGAAGAGACAGTAATACAGCTAATTCGGTGGATGGGGATGATTGGGAGGCCATGGGTAAGGGCTGATGGAGCATATTTGGCCAAGACATCAAGGCTACACTCCTACTCTTTACAGGAAGTGCCATGGAATTTTTAATGACAGAGTCAGGACCTCGCTTTGAAGTCTCATCCGAAAGACGGTGCTCACTGTTAGTACACTCTCAGAAATAAAGGTATGCGAGCTGTCACCTTTTCAAAAGGTACAAATATGTGCCTAAAAGGTCCATTTTAATACCACAAGGGTACATATTAGCACCTAAACAGTACAAAAGTGTTCCTCTTAATATTTTAGGTACTAATATATACTTTTGAGGTACCAATATGGACCCTTTAAGTATATATGTGTACCTTTTGAAAAGGTACCACCTCAGTGACAGCTTGTGTACCTTTATTTCTGAGAGTGTATAGTGTCCCCTTCACTATACTGGGGCATTAGGACTCACACAGACTGCAGGTTTTGACTGTTGTATAAACGTTGTGTTTATTTAAGTTTACAGATCGGCAGTCTACAGATCAGTTTCACATTGCAAGACAGATTCACAGTGCAAAAATGCTGAGTTGTATGGGTTACGTGGTCTGTCCTTTTGTACACACGCCATTAAGATGTCACAAATGCCAGAGATATGGACATGCAGCGGCAGCTTGTAGAAGGAAGCAAAAGTGTCCGGGATGTGGAGAGAAGCTTGATTACGAGAATTGAGATCAAGAAGTAGGACCGAAATGTTCAAAATTGTGGCGGAGAGAAAAGGGCAGGAATTATTAATGATATTGATAAAAAATGTTTAATAAAGTATGGGAAAAAGGGACGCTGCCAGCCGACTGGAAACATGTCATGATAGTGCCAATAACTACACCTGGAAATCACCACAGACAAGCTGTTACAAGCCAATAGCACTAACCTCTAATTTGTCTAAACTAATGGAGGTAATGATAATGTCTAGACCATGGGTGTCCAAACTTGGTCCTGGAGGGCCAGAGTCCTACATAGTTTAGCTCCAACTTCATTCAACATACCTCCTTGGGTGTTTTTAGTATACATAGAAAGAGCTTGATTAGCTGGTTCGGGTGTGCTTAATTGGGGTTGGAACTAAAATATGCAGGACAGCGGCCCTCCAGGCCCAGGTTTGGACACCCCTGGTCTAGACTATAGTTTACCATATAGAGAAAACACACTTTTATCTCAATATCAAGAAGGTTTCAGGAAAGGGAGCAGCACTATGGACTGTGCAGATGATGGGCTGATATAGAAGCAGGTTAGAAATTAAAGATATGCTGTAAATTGCATACAGACAGCAGTAAACAATGTAGTAGAATGGGCAAAGGCATGGGAATTTGGTTTGTTTTTTCAGTATCTAAGACACGAACAATCTGTTTTTCAAAAAGAAGGAACAATCCAAGGTTAAACATGAGAATGCATGGTGAAGAACAAGAACAGGTTGGAATTTATAGGTTTATAGATGGACAATAAATGGACTTTTAGCACTCATCAGAAGATTAATAGACAAATGTAAAAGGGAGATTCATGTAAGGGGATGGCTGGCAGGGGTTGAGTGGGGTGTGAAATATGAAACATGGTTATAAATAATAGAAAACTGTTCAAAATCAAGCATTAAGAATAAGTTGTGGAGCTTTTCCAACATCTCCAATTTATTAAATTCTAGTGGATATGGGAGAATGCCCCTTGAAGAGAAAACTAAGGATGAGATATTGGACTGAAATATAAAAGGAAATGATGAAAAACACCCAGTTAAAAAGGTGCTATAAAATAGTTTGGAATACCAGTATGAAAAAGTCAACAGTTTTGGATGGAAAACAAAATAAACAAGCTCAGAAAATTAATATATGAGGAATTGAGGAAACTCCAACTGTAATAATCCCAATTAGTATGTTTACAGTACATGGACACCAATGATTCGATTTCAATACATTTAAGACAATATTCTGATTAAGAGTCTACCTTTTAAACAGCATTTTTTTGACTAAACAGAAATCGGATTAAGACATGTGGAGTATGTTGATTTTAGTCGCATTATTGAAGTGCAGTACAGACATGTATTTTACACCTTAATCAAACTATTACTGTCATGTAGGATTTCCGCCGTATTTTTGCGACAGGATAGTCTATACACACACAGCGGTTTGACACTATTCTCTGCACTAACTGAGTCAGTGAAGGACCACAGACACCTGGGGCCTCATGTACAAAGACTTGTTTTGAAAACATTGCGTACGGACAAAGCTGTAAATGTGCGTACGCAGTAAAAAATTCAGATGTATGAAACACTACGTACGCCGAATCACACGCATATTCTCTTTGTACATCTGAATTAACGTGAAACTGAGCACACGTGCACGAGCGCAAACCCCCTCCTTGCCTCCTCCCCTAATAAATATGTTAATGACTTTACTTTGGCAAACCATACGAAAAAACAATGGCATATGCAGGCAAGAAGAGAAACTTCCCAGAATGTGAATTGGAGGTGCTGCTATCGGAGGCAGACTGGAGAAAAACTGTGTTATTTGCAAGTTTGTCCTCCAGAATTAAACCGGAGGAAACCCATGCCAACACAGGGAGAACATGCAAACTCCACACAGAAACGCCAACTGGCCCAGCCGGGACTTGATCTTCTTGCTAACCACTGAGCCACTGTGCCACCCTCAAATGTTTTCAATGTAAGTGTACAGTGTTAATGAGAAGATCTGACCTGTACTTCTCCTCGTATCCCTTCATCTTGTTCACTTTGATCCCGTTTTTCTCCCAGTGAACAGAGCAAAAATCACACACCACCGTCCCAAACAACACCGAACAGTTGAGCAGCATTTCTGCACCTGAAAAACAACAGCAGCTTTCATTCAGTCTTTCCATTGTACTCTAAAACAATGCAGTGACTCTTGAAACAATCAACATTAAAAATAAAATGTAATTTTGCTAAGCGGGGTGACGCAGTGGCGCAGTAGGTAGTGCTGTCGCCACACAGCAAGAAGGTCGCTGGTTCGAGCCTCGGCCGGGATTAGTTTGCGTTTCCCTGCATTTGTGTGGGTTTCCTCCGGTGCTCTGGTTTCCCACACAGTCCAAACACATGCAGTACAGGTTGGCTAAATTGTTTGTAGTGTATGAGTGTGAATGGGTGTGTATGGATCTTGGGTTGCAGCTGGAAGGGCATCCGCTGCGTGAAACATATCTTGGATAAGTTATTGGTTCATTCCGCTGTGGCGACCCCGGATAATAAAGGGACTAAGCTGAAAAGAAAATGAATGAATTTTGTTAAGCTTGATAATTTAATATTTGTTATCATTTTACTTGCATTTTTTGTTTTAAGTTTGCTTTCATTTACATTATTATTTTAGATTTAATGTCCACACGATCACTTCTGTTTATGTTGATGTCTCTATAATTACTTTTTTATTTCAGTTGTCATTTTTTAAGGACACCAACAAAAATATTTTAACTTATTTCAACTTTTAATTCTTCAACTAGTTAAATAAAAACGATAAAGAAATAGACGTCACGGTGGTGCAGTGGGTAGCCGTGTCGCCTCACAGCAAGAAGGTCGCTGGTTCGAGCATCAGCTGGATCAGTTGGCATTTCTGTGTGGAGTTTGCATGTTCTCAGTTCAAAATCTTATCCTTCGTTATCAAAGTAATTTCTCCCATCTCTACAAGGATTAAATAAATTGGAAATGTAGAAAAAGCTCCATAACTTATTCTTAATGCTTGATTTTGATCAGTTTCTATTCTTTTTAACCATGTTTGATATTTCACATCCCACACAAACCCTGCCAGCCATCTCTTTACATGAATCCCCTTTTTACATCTGTCTATTAAACTGTTAGCCAGCACTCAATGTTGGGGATTTACAAATACCCAACTTTAAATAGTAACAGTTTCTGACTCCAATAAGCTACAAACACAAATTATGAATCATTGGAAAGAAGACACTTTGGGCTTTACTGTGGTAAAAGGGGAACTTGAAAGCCAAGAGTTACATGTTTTATATATCAAATTTGATTAAGACAGCATGCAAAATGAGATTTCTGTAAAAAGTTTTCTGATGCCGATGTCCTTCTCTCCCTCATCGTCAGAGGCATTTTCTCAAAAATTACCGTCCCAAGCTAAAACGGTAACAGTTGCTGAATGATTTGGTCTACATTCACAGTTCATGTATCTTTACTTTTTATTATTGTTTCAGGGTGTTCACCTTTAATGTATAGGACAGTAGAGATTATTGACAGGTAAGCATGTGGAGCAGAGATAGGGGAAGGATCGGCATAGGACTGCGAGGCGGGAATCGAACTCGGGTTGCCGTGAGCACCGGAGTGCATGCATTGACGCACTAACCACTACACCACTGGCGACGACTCAGTTTATGTATCTTTGGAAAGAAGACACTTTGGGCTTTATTATCCGTCATCTAGAGTTTATAATGCATAGTTCTAGTATGACTTGGCATGTTTCTAGCACAAATTAGCATGTTGTTAGCATGGCTCTAGTGTGAATTAGCATGTTGTTAGCATGTTTCTAGTATAAACTAGCATGTTGTTAGCATGAACTTAGTATGAATTAGCATGTTACAAGTATGATTAGTTAGTATGTTGCTAGTATAGATTGGTATATTAGTATGTCCAATGTAAAGTCAATGGCAGTTTTTTTTTACAATGGAAGTTTATGGAACAGTTGCTAGGGTGCTGTAAGTGGTTGCTAGGGTGTGACTTGTAAGTTGAAAGGTCATCAATGATTGGCAGATTGGTAGTCTGAGTTAAATGAGCCCAACATTAAGTCTGCATGACAGTCTGACACAAAGTTATGAGGTCACAAAGTTTGGTCTAATGTTAAATCAATGGGACTTCTCTGAATTTTCCGGGTCAGTTTTCAGAAAACCGTAAGTCGGATCAGTTGGAAAAGAAATAGCAACCTAATTCAGTATAGTTTGGAGGTTTGGAGTAAGTTTGGTGGTTGTAGTATGAACAGTCTAGGAGGAGATGCATTCTTAAAATAGTTTAAGCAGAAGACGGAAGACTAATGAGCTTATGTAGCTATAACAGTATGTTGGCTTTTTTAAGACACCTTAATAACTCATTTAAATGATTAAAAATGAACAAGTAATGCAATTAAAAGTAATTTAACTGCAGTAGCGCATGAGAACACTGGTTAGGACAGACAAACAAACCAAACACGAGATTTTAAAGCTGTTTTCTTACCAATATTAGTGTTGACAATGGAGTTATTGATTGGAAGGCGAAACTGTGGAGGAATTCTGACGGTCTTCTCTATGAAAAAAAAAGAGGACAGAGTTAGAAACTCTGCTACATGCGGTAGACTGTTAGGGTTAGCGTAAGTTGACGTGTACTTGCAAAAGTTCTTATAGTCAGTTAAATGTCTGTTGAAGGAGCAGTATCAGCAGATATTAAGCAGACAGTCTACTAATACTCAAACAGACCATCAAAATAAAGTGTTACCAATACAAAAGCTGAATAGCAATGAAAAAATACCATAGTAAATTATAATAAATATTGCAATGTAGTATTACACATGTGAAATCCGAATTATTTGCCCTCTTGTGCATTTTCTTTTTCAAATATTTCCCAGATGATGTGTAGCAGATTCAGGAAATTTTCACAGTATTTCCTATAAAATTGTTTCTTCTGGAGAAAGTCTTATTTGTTTTATTTTGGCTAGAACAAAAGCAGTTATTTATTTTTAAACCCATTTTAAGGCCAATATTTTTAGCCCCCTGAAGCAATATTTGTTTTGGATAGTCTACAGAACAAACCACTGTTATACAATGACTTGCCTAGTTACCCTAACTTGCCTAATTGTGATGGCTTGAGAAAGCCAACATACTCTTATACTACATACACTTCTTCTTAGACTTTTTTTAAGAACGCATCTCCTCCTAGACTGTTCATACTGCAACCGGGGAGTGGGTCTATTCTGCCGCCCTAGACGCGGATATAACTGAGGCACGGGTGGCGAGGGTAGTTTAGGGGACGCCGCCCTCTCTATTCTGCCGCGCTAGACGCGGATATAACTGAGGCACGGGTGGCGAGGGTAGTTTAGGGGACGCCGCCCTCTCTATTCTGCCGCGCTAGACGCGGATATAACTGAGGCGCGGGTGGCGAGGGTAGTTTAGGGGATGCCGCCCTCTCTATTCTGCCGTGCTAGACGCGGATATAACTGAGGCGCGGGTGGCGAGGGTAGTTTAGGGGACGCCGCCCTCTCTATTCTGCCGCGCTAGACGCGGATATAACTGAGGCGCGGGTGGCGAGGGTAGTTTAGGGGACGCCGCCCTCTCTATTCTGCCGCGCTAGACGCGGATATAACTGAGGCGCGGGTGGCGAGGGTAGTTTAGGGGACGCCGCCCTTTCTATTCTGCCGCGCTAGACGCGGATATAACTGAGGCACGGGTGGCGAGGGTAGTTTAGGGGACGCCGCCCTCTCTATTCTGCCGCGCTAGACGCGGATATAACTGAGGCACGGGTGGCGAGGGTAGTTTAGGGGACGCCGCCCTCTCTATTCTGCCGCGCTAGACGCGGATATAACTGAGGCACGGGTGGCGAGGGTAGTTTAGGGGACGCCGCCCTTTCTATTCTGCCGTGCTAGACGCGGATATAACTGAGGAGCGGGTGGCGAGGGTAGTTTAGGGGACGCCGCCCTCTCTATTCTGCCGCGCTAGACGCGGATATAACTGAGGCGCGGGTGGCGAGGGTAGTTTCGGGGACGCCGCCCTCTCTATTCTGCCGCGCTAGACGCGGATATAACTGAGGCGCGGGTGGCGAGGGTAGTTTAGGGGACGCCGCCCTCTCTATTCTGCCGCGCTAGACGCGGATATAACTGAGGCGCGGATGGCGAGGGTAGTTTCGGGGACGCCGCTCTCTATATTCTGCCACCCTAGACATGGATATAATTGTGGCCGCGGGTGGCGAGGGTAGGTTCGGGGACGCCACCCTCTCTATTCTGCCGCCCTAGGCGGCCACCTAGGTCGCCTCTATGGAAGCGCCGGCCCTGCTTATGACCATTCAACTTATTCACGAGTTCACACTTAGCTGATGATTGATTATAAAGCGTGTTTGGCTTGCTGTCCCAGGAGAGAGCCCTGAGCACATGAGATCCTCGAGCCCTGGGCATTCTCCCATTGCAAGGCGAGAGGGGAGTTTGAATTTAGGTAGATCTCGAGAATTCCCCTGCTGTAGAAGCTAATGAACAGATAGTGATTGCTCTTAGGAGATAACTACTTACTGAGTGCATGTCTATGGTGCTGATTTGGATTAGTCAATTAACTAACCCACGCGAGCACGGGGAGAATGTGCAAACTCAGCTCTATAAGGGCTGAACTATGCAAGCCAGTGGCAACAGTGTTGAGGAAAAAAACTTCACCAATTGGCAAAAGTGAAGGGAAAAAAAACCTTGGGAGAAACCTGGCTCAGTTAGCAGGACCATTTCTCCTATGGAAAAATGTCTTGCAGAGAGCTGCGGTCTAGATGCCGGAGGCTGGAAAACGCAGGAAGTCAGCGAAGTCTCACAAAGGATACTGCGGGGGAAGCAATCATAAGCACGCGATCTTCTCGAAATTAGTTTATAAATAAACTTCACCTAGCCACACCCTAGCAACGACCTAGAACACCTTAGCAACCACCTAGCAACACCTTAACAATCATCTAACAACGTCATAGCAACCACTCAGAATACCCTAGCAATCACCTAGCAACACCTTAGCAACCACATTAGCAATCACCTAGCAATGCCTTAGCAACCGCCTAACTACTACTCAAAACACCCTAACAACACCTTAGCAATGACCTAGCAACACCTTAGCAACCACCTAACAACACCTTCACAACCACTCAGAACACCCTAGCAAGCTGAAGGAAACTGAATGAATGAATATTATTATAGTGTTTTTTTTTTTTTATATGGGATACCTTTAATGACCAGCTCTCGAGATCCAGAGGTGTTGTATTTGATCCCATGATGGTCCCAGGTGCAGACGCAGGTGTAAATACCCTGGCTTTCTTTTGAAATATTACGAATACGTAAAGAACTTTTTGACTGGTTTGGAATAAGAGTGAAATCCTGACAGAGAAAAACAATGATAATAATTAATGAAAAGGAAGAAAACACTGATCAAATAATGTTAAAGTACACATGACATCAAAACTGAACATATTGTTTAATGACTGATGAAGATCACAAGAACAAATAATGAACAATACAGTACATATACAGCATTTATTAATCATCGTCCAACATTTCATTCATTATTAAAATCCAAATTCATGATTGTTAGCATTAGCTAATGCTCAGTCATAGATAATTACATTAAATGTCGCCTGGCCTTTTGTTGTCTATTGGACGGAATGTGTCAATAGCGCCGCCATCTTGGTACAGGGTAGCGCTCCTTTAAAATTAATGTGGGATCAAGGTACAGTGGAGGACTGTGGCCATCCAAAGCCAGAGATATACACATATACACATATATCTATGATCGGGAGTTTTCCTGGATGTTAGTATGCAATTTTTATTTTCTAATTACGAAAATTATAATTTTACATCACTTTTCTACATTGATGGATCAGTGACCGCACGGGCATTCCTGACAAAAAGCTTGTGTTTGTGTGTACAGAAATGTACTATCCACCCTCCCTGTTAAATTTGATCTAATCATGTCCTGAAACACAGCTCCTCTCCTGCTTTCACTTCTCTTACTGACTGAGGGAGCGATTCGTTTGTGAATGAATCCCCCGAACGACTCTTTCACTAACGTTAGCCGACAATAATACAAGTTTCTGGCAGCGCAGCATCTCGTTGTCATATTTCTTTTGCATTGTTTGCTGATTTTATTCAACAAAACTAGCATAAGCCGAGTGTTTAGTGTGAGTTGGAGCTACTTTGCCTTATGGTGAATGCAGTAAGTGACTGTTATCATCAATAACGTGACCTGATTAGCACAAAAGTTCAGAACATACAAAAACAGATAAAAACTTAATATTACCTATGAAATGTTCTGCCTTTGTGTTTTGTTTTCTTTGTCTGCTCGTTACTACACCCGTAGACAGCGCTAAAGTCCCGCATCTTCTCGTAATAACACTGTCTTGACTAGTGCAGTTGAATGACATTTGTCCTGGGAGCACTGTACCAATGTGGCGGCGCTATTGACGCATGCTCCTTATGCGATATCTAGTGTATGATGCTCAGTGAGTTAACATGAACTAACACTGAATTACTTTATTTCCATTAACACTACCAAACATGAATGAATACTGTAATTTATGTATTGTTCATTGTTTGTTCATGTTAGTAAACACATTAACTAATACTACCTTATTGTAAAGTGTTAACCAACCATGTAGTGATGTGTGGTTTAGCTTACTTTATACCAAATGAAGGAGCCTGGCTGATTCTTACAGATGGGACAAATTATTTCTGAATTCTCCGTCTTTCCGTACAGGAGATCTCTGCTGAAATTCTCATGAACCACAATGTCTGTTTCGAACTCAGAACAACTGCCCTCCGCATCCCTCCTGCAGCAACAACACACACTTCTGTTCAGCACAGGTGAGTTCATCTGAAGAGTCAGTAAACACATCTATAAAAGACTTCTTCAAATAAATGAGGCTTCTTCAGTGTTTATTTACACCTTGCAAGTAACATATGCCAATGCTAGAAATATGCTAAAAAAATCATGTTAATGAATGAATGTTAATGAATGAATGGGCTTTGTGATGGCCACTCCAAAACATTCACTCTGTTGACTTTAAAGTACATTTGAACTAAATTGTCAGTATGCCTAGGGTCATGGTCTGTTTGGAAGAGCCATGTGTGGCCAAGTTTTAATTTCCTGGCTGATGTCTTGAGATGTTGCTTCAGTATTTCTACATAATGTTCTTTCTTCATGATGCCATCTATGCTGTGAAGTGCACCAGTCCCTCATGCAGCAAAACAGCCCCACAACATGATGCTGCCGCCCCCATACTTCACAGTTGGGATGGTGTTCCTAGGCTTGTAAGCTTTCCTCTTTGTCCTCCAAATGTAACACTGGTCATTATGGCCAAACAGTTCAATATTAGTATCATCAGAGCACAGCACATGTCTCCAATATTAGCCTTTTTCCCAGTGTAATTCAGCAAATTGTAATCTGGCTTTGTTGTTGATTCTGGCTTGTTGATTTTCCCATGTTGTCACACAAGGAAGCAGTGTGTTTGAGCTTTTCCTTCAATACTATTCTACAGTTGTGCCTCCAATTAACTCAAATATTGTCAATTAGCCAATCAGAAACTTCCAAAACCTTGACACCATCATCTGAGCTTTTCCAGAGGCAGAATAATCTTATTGTGTGTAAACTTGACTTTCAAGAAAAGTTATTACAATTTCTCAAACAATATCTCTCTCATTACTCTGCTTAACAGAATAAAGCATATTCAGCATAACAGAAACACATTTGATAATCCTAACTTACCTAAAAGAGAAAAAGTTTAGTCACATTAACATCTGACTTTTTAAAATGGTTATGTGCCTTTTATACAGTCCATGGAAACTTCTGCTTTCAACTGTATATATATATTATTCTAGAGTCTGAGTTAGAGTAAATGAATGTTATTATGTCAAAGTGTGTGTGTTTGTATAGTTGTGTGTGTGTTTTTACCAGTATGTGATGTATTTTCCCGTGTCGTTGAGTGTTAGATTGAGGATGTACAGACTAGATTTATGGTAATGCACCCGTTGACTCTCCTCGGTGCCGATCTGCTCCAGCTTCATCGTTCTGCTCAGATTTCTAAACCAAGTGTAAGTGTTGTTGAATCCAAGGTTGCCTTTGAAGCAGGCATCATTCTTACACGGCAAATGCAGAGATTCTCCAGCTCTCACAATTAGTAGCGATGGGTTATCTCGCTGCTTACAGACGACTAATAAACAATAAATAAACAATTAAAATCTTTAATAAACAAGCAGTGAAAGTGACATGTCTATACGGTTCCCCCAAAAAACGTTGTATTTGTTTGTTTGTTTATTAGTTTATTTTCCTATTTATGGAGGAGCAGAAGTGCCGGTTAGAGATAAAATGAAGAAACAAATTATTAATTTAATAATTGATGCATTAAAATGTGTATAAATAAATTGCAATTTAAATGAACATTTAACTAATGGACAAATAAAAAGACACATTTAAATGTGTTTATTTAAATTGCGTGTTTAAATGTCAATTAATAAAGCAATAAATCAATGCATTTAAAAATTACATATATACCTATAAATAAATAGACAATTTTATAAATGTTTATTTATTTATTCCTTCATTGATTTTCTTTTCGGCTAAGTCCCTTTAATAATCAGGACTCGCCACAGTGGAATGAACCGTCAATTTATCCAGCATGTGTTTTATGCAGCAGATGCCCTTCCAGCCGCAACCCATCACTGGGAAACACCCATACACACACACATGCAAACACTATGGACAATTTAGCTTTCCCAGTTCACCTATACCACATGTCTTACCCAGCCGGGAATCGAACCAGTGACCTTCTTGCTGTAAGGCCACAGTGCTAACTACTGAGCCACCATGTCACCCCATAGTAGTGTGTAACACGGCTCTAAGTGAAGTGAAATATCCAGCTAAGGTTTAAATCTGAAAGTGGACAGTTTTTAACCTATTGATTCATTTATAAAAGAGTCGACTCATAGTGGTTCGAATGAATCGTCTTTACAACGAGTCTTTAGCCGTTTCGGCGTGACGTGGCTACAAAACATGAGCCCCGCCCAATTGTTGCATGAACAAACGCGGGAAAATTTAAACCTGCGGCCCCGCCCACTAACACAGCAGCAAAGACAAACAGATCCTGAAGTCATCATGAGTCAAGAAGACGCTGTGCTTACCTGGATATTATTGGAAGTGTGAGTGGAAAGAAGTGATTCAGCAGTCTACACGCTTACATTGAGCGATTCATTCGTTTGGATCAGAAAAGACTACTGGTGTATGGGACTTTGACAGAGCTTGACAGGAACTTCAGTACATGGATTAGTTTCTTCCTCCATTATGTAATGGACAGACAATACACCAAGGGTGTGTGCAAAATAAGGCCAGTTTATTAGGCACACAGTCAAACAAAGGTAGGCTGCTGCACGCTGAGGAGGAGCGCTGGCGAGCGCTACAACCCCCTGGCTGGGGATGTGATCTTTGGGCAAAGCAGAGTACAGGTAAGCCCTGAGAACATATAACACTTCACGCAAGAGGTGCCTCAGCAATAATTGCAAATAGAAATGATCTACAGTTGAGAAGGGGAAAATGCTCCAAAATAAAAGATAATAGCCGCGTTTCCACTATCGCGCCTAAAGCGAGCGAGCGAGCCAGGGCAGGCCAAGGCCAGTCGCGTTTGCACTGTCACTTCCGGGGCCTAATCCGCTTGTTAATTGGTGACGTGTTTGTGACGTATGTAATACTGTTTCCGGGTCCAAGCCGCCATTCATTTGAGTGGAGAAATCATTTGTTTATGATCGCGTTTTATTCCTATTACACATTAAAGTTAATTATATTTAAAGTCATAGTGTACACAACAATCTCTGGGCTTGCTGCATAACAAATACCAACATTTTAACAATTTATAAAACAATGAATCACTTTCTGGCCATTGGATATTAGGCATGAACATATATATATACTGCGATTGTGACTTTCGAAAGCATTAAATCACTTTGTAAACGTTTATTATTACCATTTCATGAATCTCCCCATTCAGTTAAATAGAGCTCTTGGACCCGGAAGCCGCTCAAGAGTACATGCGCCAAACACATAAACAAATAAATAAATAAGGCAAAGAAAACATCTGGAACAAATTATAGGCTGAGGTCTTTTTGTGTATGATCGCCCTTATGTTTTTTTTTTTAAATGTAAGGCTGTTGTATAAAATAATAAAGCAGTTTTAATTTATAAGTGACTTTTCTTTGCTGCGTCCTTGATGTTTCAGTAACGCATAATAATCTTAACACCATATTAAAGACACAGCAGACAGTAAAGGATTTCGGGAGTTTTTGTCAAGTTTAAAAGGTGTGTTTGTGCGCGTTTAGATGCCTGTGTGTGTGTGTGTGTGTGTGTGTGTGTGTGTGTGAGACCGAGGAAATAAGCGCTCTCTTCACAGCTCTGTTGATGTCGCGAGCGGCTTTTTTCTTTCTTTCCGGAAAGGTTGTATGAGTGAACAGGCCCTTTTTGAAAAATACTGGTAAATTCGTTCTGGCTGTTTTCCGGAAAGAGAAGTTGTAACATTACCGGTAATCTGCCGAAATGCTGCGCTGTGTGAATGCAGAAGGAAGATTGCCGGAAAGAGCGCTTGCACGTCTAGAACGTGCTGACGTGAGACGTTTACTTTAGCCAATCAGAACAGTCAGACGCATTCACGTCCGTGCGGTTTATGAGAATAAAAGCCTTTGAATATTTTTCCAGACACATTTAGCTGGCTGCTAGTCAGATAACATTTATATGTTTCTTCTTAATGCCAACGGTGTAAATAATTATTGATAATATGCTTATGATAAGCCGTTGTTTGTTTACCTTCAAGCTCTGCGTCGTGTTTGCCCGTCAAGCAGCTAGTGAGCCAGCACACACACACACACACACACACACACACACACACACACACACACACATCTCGACATGCGAAAGTGATCCTCCATATGTTTACATCGAAGTTGTTCACAACACTGATCCATCCAGAATTTGTAATGTAGTCAAATGTTTACAAACACAAGCGCAGCCGTTTAGAGGTCATTTCTGGTTTATGATGTCAGAATTTACCGGTATTTTGGAAAGGATGTGTGAATAACCTTTTCCGGAAAAAGTCTGTAACGTGCTCGCCTGTATGAACAACGCTTTTTTGAATATACTGGTAAAGTCGTTACATAAATCTTCTGGATATTTACCGGTCCCTGCTGAAATATCCAGCCTAAACCAGCCTAGGCTGGTTGGCTGGTTTTAGCTGGTCAACCAGGCTGGTTTTAGAGGGGTTTTGGCCACTTCCAGGCTGGTTTCCAGCCATTTCCAGCCTGGTCTTAGCTGGTCAGGCTGGGAGATGACCTAGGCTGGTTTAAGCTGGATTTTTCAGCAGGAGTATCACTGTGTGAAAGGAGATATTGTCACCTTAGAATTTAAGGTTCTATCTGGCATTTTTGTCAAAATTAAATTACTGACATTCTTAATAAATGACAACTTATTTACATTATGGGATGTTTTTTATAAGTTATCTTAAGTCTTTTTATTTAAAAAAACAAATGTTACACACATACTGTTTGCTATATGGATTGCAAAAACTTTGAAGCTCAACATCACAAAATCATTAAGAACGCAGATAGAACCTTATAATTCCAAGGTGATGATATGTCTTACCCAATTCACTTATCATTTCCTTTGCTGTTGATTTATTAATATAAATATCAATGTGCTAAAATCAAATTCATCTTACCTGTAGAGTTTAATGCGTACGCAGACACCAGAACTGACTCAATAATGAGCAAAATGATCATCATCATCGTCACCATCATCATCACCAACCCTATAAAGCAAGTATAATACAAATGTCAGTTCACAAGCATTGACTATATATCTATCTATCATAGCTGGTCCAGAAGTGTGAGACTGCGGTACCTTACCATCTGCTTGTGTGATCAGTCCATCTGTGGCCATTTTAAAGAGGATGTCTCGCAACTCTCCAACTATCGCATCATCTGCACTTTATCGCTCTTTCTTGACATTTCTCTACGCTTTTGAAAACAGGATATGATAAGAAGAGCTTCGGTTTATGAAGCATCGAACGCTTTTACATTTCTGATGGAAGATCAGTGAGGCCCTATAGGTCAGATCATGCAAACTGGGGCCAGTTTAACTAGTCAATGCTGTAGTGTTTTGACCATACTGATGTTCAATTCAATTCATGTTTATTTGCTCAGCGCCTTTCACAATAATTATAGTTCCAAAGCAGCTTCACTGAAGGCGAAATCATTACAGTGAAAAGCAGAAAGGAGTTGTGTAAAGGCTTGGCAGTATATAAACATGGTTAACCTGCAGTTATACAGTATATAATGTGCTTTCAATAAAGGTGAAATCTTTGTGTATAATACATGTAAATAAAAAGCAAAGCCAATCGATGGGAAGCTGGAAAACATTTGCCAAAAATGCATAATGGTTAAATCTAACACTTCCTTTTTGTCAGTATGTGAGAAAGAAGACCAGAAGCGTTTTTTTTTTTTTTTTTTAATGGATGTCAATGGAGGAGAGGCGTCACTATGTAATGTAATGTGTGTATTAAAATAACGCATTTATTGTGCTTATTGTGCTTCACAATCATGAGGGGGGTCTCTCCACACCACCACTAGTGTGCAGCATCCACTTGGATGATGTGACTGCAGCCACGGGACAATGGCACTAGTGCGTTTACCACACACCAGCTATTGCGGGAGCGGACAATGTGTTTGGACAATGTGTATATATATATATATATATATATATATATATATATATATATATATATATATATATATATATAAATATAAAAACAATATTCATTCTTGGCGGGGGTGACTCGTCCCCAGTCCCCACCAATGTCTAGCGCAAACCTACGCCCTTGCACTGAGGCTTTAAGTCTTTGTTGTCGTCAATATGTGTATATATATATATATATATATATATATATATATATATATATATATATGTATGTATATATATA